TACAGTGCCTTTTGAACCACAAAATTTTTAATTTTTGATGAAGTTCAATTTATCCATTACCCCCCTCTTGTTGCTTACGATTTTGGTGTTCTATCTGAGAAGCCATTGCCAACTACAAAGTAAAAAACACTTATATCAGTATTTTTCCTTCTAAGAGTTTTACAGTTCCAGTTGTTACATGTGAGTCTTAACATTTGAGCCATTTTGAGTTATTTTTTGTATATGGTATAAAATGATGGCCCAAATTTGTTCTTTTTCTTGTGGATAACAGTTGTCTCAGCACCATTTGTTGAAAACACTCTTCTTTACCCTTTGAGTTGTCTTAGTATCCTTGGTAGAAATCAAGTAATCATAAATGTATGGGTTTATTTCTGGATTCTCAATCCTACTGTGTTTATCTATATTACATGTATACATCTGTACTTATGCCATACCAGTTAATACTGATTATTACTACAGCTTTGGAGTATAAGTTTTAAAACCAAGAAGTGTCAGATGTCCAACTTTTTCTTTTTCAAGATTGTGTTGGTCATTCTAGCTTCCTTACGCGTCCATATAAATTTTGGGATTAGCTTGTTAATTTCTGAGAAAAAAAAGAGCAGGTAAGATTTTCATAGGGACTGTGATTTGTAGATCTGTAGATCAATTTAGAGACTCTCACCATCTTAAAAAATTTGGAATATCCGAATAGTATCTTCCAGTCCATGAACTCAAGACATTTTCTTGTTTATTTAGGTCTTTAATTTCTTTCAATGATTTTTGTAGTTTTCAGTATACAAGCCTAGTAGTTCTTTTGTTAAATACTAAGGATTTTACTTTTTATGTTATTGTAAATTAATTTGTTTCTTAATTTGATTTTTCATTGCTCATGAGTACCTCCCATTTTGTCCAAGAATAAACTTTCAATTTTCTTGAAATAGTCTTTGGCAATTCACTTTCAAATATAGCTTTATAGAAAAATGATTTTTTGTGGTAGGACAAATTTAGTGGGCCCATTCCTCCCTCATAGGTAAATTTGTTGCAACTGCTCAAAACTTGAACTCACACTTCTGAAATAGTGTGAGTAGAGGCAGAGTGTGCATATACATCTTTACAGTAGGTCATCAGTGAGACTTTTGTACTAGTACAAATTAAGAGAAGCACACAAGCATTCATTTCTAAAATCAGCTTTTTGGAAAATATCTTGACTTTAGTCATTGTAATGCTGAAGTTTGGTAACTCTCCCTTTATCCAGATAGCCAGAATGTTATAATGTATAAATTGCTTCTGTAAAATGTATCTTAAGCTATACCCTGAGGACTGGGTCATGTCTCAGGGATGCTGTATATCACGAATGTGTCTCTTATGAATTTTTACAGTTTTCAAATGTGCCTATGAAGAGTATTAGATTATCAAAAAACAATTTTACTAATCCAACTTCATCCTGTCACTAACCAACTGATATTCTGATATTCCATCATTTCCAGAGTTGGAGCAGAATTTTGGTCTATTTATTAGGCCAAGATGACTCTATTAATTTCTGAGGAAAAAAAAAGTACCCTTTGCTAAGATTTTCCTTACAATGTGGCTGTGGACAGAACAAATCTGGGATAAATAGTTGAGAGCCAGCTGCCTTCCTGACGGCCTACTGGAAGGCTGTAACTGTTAGACAACACTGCCCTCTTGTGAGCAAACTCAAAAACAACCAGCTTGAAAATGTGTAACTGCTGCCTGTTTATACTAAAAACTGCGGTCTAGGGAAAAATATCTGAGTTTTGTAAACCACCGCTTTCTACCACAGATTTCCCTCAGGGGTTCACAGAGCCTTCTGATACTCAATTTTCATCCCAAAATTTAGGATGAATTTAGGATCCTAGAATTTAATATTTTAGATTTCTAAAAGCTCACGTGTTTCACAAATACTATAGTTAAACAATACCAACTCTGTGGGTTTTTTGTCTCTCAGTAAGGAATGCTCCATGACAGCAGGAACTTGACCATAGAGAAGAAGGTGGGAAGACCAGGGTAGAGTGCTGGTTTATGTCAGAGATACTGCCCCTCACTTTGCGGATGAAAAACCAGAGCTCCAGAGAAGCTTGGAAATCATCAAAGAATTATTCAGCATCCTTGTCTCTTACATCTCAGTCCAGTGGCTCTGATGGCTACAGGCCATGATGGGATGTAATTCCTTAGAGGCAGAAGCTGCTTCCCTCATGTTTCCATGCACTTGACGTCTATCTCAGTATTGAATATGGGGAGGGAGGTTCTCACCCATCACCAGATTATTCTTATTAAATTATAGGTTTGGATTTATTAGTTGTGTAAGTAGTGTTTACATTTAACAAAAATATAAAACCAATAAGTAGATCAATAGACAAAGTACTGCAAATAGGAATTATTCTTACCCAAGCAAAACTCTCCTTAAATAGGTAAAATAATACTATTAATACATCTAACAATCTACATCTGATGTCCCACCCTTCAGGCTCCTTTTGATGTCCAGCAAACATCTAGAATGTTCCATGTGTTAGGTAATATGCAAGGCCCTGTGGATTTTGCCACTCACATGCCTCCTGCTCATCTTCATTGGGACATCTTATTCATCAGGCTGGAATGCCAAATGCTCAGTGTGGCTGGCTGTACCTGCAGACTTCAAATCAGCAGACACAGTCTTGGATGGGTACTTTTTCTTCTTTCATTTAATACATGTTTTGAACTTTGGCATTTCTCAGCCTTAAAATGTTTTATAGATTTAAATTTGTATTCCAAATTAAAAAGTTGAGTGTATTGGCTGCAGAATAGACAGATATTAAGCAGACGCGGTCCTGATTTTTTGTGACCTTTATTCCCTTTTGGTTAACTAGCTGCTGGAAATGGGCACCTATGAACGGCAATAGCACAAGTAGTTTTGAAGCCAGATGGACAGGTCATCCCAGTGCTGCTGCTTTCTGGCTGTACAAACTCAGGCATAATTAGCTTCTTTCACCTTCATAGTGTTATTACGGGTTTGAAGCAAAGTTTTGTGCACCTATGTAACACACACATACATTAGCACATCCTAACTGCTCAATAAGTACTGATTCTTATTTTCACATGCTCTATATGAATTTCTGATATGTTCCAAGTTACAATTCTTTTTCTTCCATTTAATTTAATAAGACATATTATTTCTCTTATCATTCATTTTATTTTAATTTTTCCAACTTTATTGAGCTGTAATTGACAAATAAAAATTATATATTTTAAAGGTATGCAACATGATGTTTTGACATAGGTATACATTGTGTGAAATGATCACCACAATTTACCTGATTAATACACCCATCATCTCACAAACCTTTGTGGTGAGAATACTTAAGATCTATTGTTTTAGCAAATATCCATTGCACATTCTTATTAAGTATAGTCACTATACTGTACACTAGGTCTGCAGAACTTATTTACCTTATACCTGAGAGTTTGTTTGCTGTGACCAACATCTCCCCATTTCTTTTACCCCTTCAACCTCTAGTAACTCCCATTCTACTGTTTCTATGTGTTTGTCATACACACAAAATCATGAAGCATTTGTCTTTGTGTATCTGGTTTTTTTCACTTAGCACAATGTACTCCAGGTTTGTCTATTATGCCCAAAATGGAAGAATTTCCTTCATTTTAAAGGCTAAATAATATTCCGTTGTATATATGTGTATCTATGCAGACACATACACACACATATATATATTTTGTTCATTCATCCATCAATAGACACATTGTTGCCATAGTTTGACTATTTTGAATAATGTTGCAGAAACATGGGAGTATAGATATCTCTTCAAAATAGTGATTTTGTTTTCTTTGGATATATATCCCTTAAGTAGAGTAGCTAGATCATCTGGTGGTTTTAGTTTTGAGGAACCTCCATACTGTTTTCCATAATGATTGTACCAATTTACATTCTCACCAGTAACATCTGGGGTTCCCCCTTTTCCACCTCCTCCCCAACACTTGGTTTGAATTTTTAGTAATAGCCATCCTAACAGAAGGGAGGTGATATCCCATTGTGGTTTTAATTTGAATTTCCCTAATGATTTGAGATGAACACCTTTTCATAGTATTGTTTGCCATGTATGCTTTCTTCAGATAAATGTCTATTCATATCTTTTGCTCATTTTAAAAATAAGGTTATTATAATTTATTTTTTTGCTGTTGAGTGGTAGGAATTTCTTCTATATTTTGGATATTAGATATTCTTTATAAGATACGTGGTCTGCAAATGTTTTCTCTCCTTCTATAGGGTTGCCTTTACCTTTTGTTGATTGTTTCCCTTTTGTGCAGAAACTTTATTATGATGTAGTTTTTTTTTAATTAAATCATAGCTGTGTACATTAATGCAATCACAGGGTACAGTGTGGTGTTTTCATACACAATTTGAAATACTCTCATGAAACTGGTTAACGTAGCCTTCATGTCGTTTTCTTGGTTATTAAGACATTCGTACTCTGCTTTTAGGAAGATTCACTTGTACCCTTGTAAGATAAACCATAGAGGTGACCCCACAAATCACCCTCCTTCCACCCACCCACCCTCTGCCCCTCCCCATTTTCTAAGGCTATAATTAGGTTATATCTTTCCTATGAAATCTATAATTTAGTTTCAAATTAGGGCTGTGTACATTGGATACTTTTTCTTCCATTCTTGAGATACTTTGCTAAGAAGAACATTTTCCAGCTCCATCCATGTAAACATGAAGGAGGTAAAGTCTCCATCTTTCTTTAGGGCTGCATAATATTCCATAGTGTACATATACCACAGTTTATTGATCCATTCATGGAGCAGTGGGCATTTGGGCTTCCATAACCTAGCAATTATGAATTGGGCTGCAATAAACATTCAGATACAAATATCTTGTTGTAATGTGATTTTTGGTCTTCTGGAGATGTAGTTTGTTTTGATTGCCTGTGCTTTTGGTGTCATATCCAAAAAATAATTGCCAAGACCAAAGTTAAGGAGATTTTCCCTGGTGTTTTCCTTAATTTTTTTTTAATATGGAATGCTTCACAAATTTGCATGTCATCCTTGCACAAGGGCCATCTTGCTAATCTTCTCTGTATCGTTCCAATTTTAGTATATGTGCTGCTGAAGTTTTATGGTGTCAGGTCTTATATTTAAGTCTTTAATTCATTTTGAGTTGATTTTTGTGTATAGCGTAAGACAATGATCTAATTTTATTTATTTATTTTTTGCATGTGGTATTATTTTCGTTTATAGAGGAGATTATCCTTTCGCCATTGTTTATTTGCAGCAACGTTCTTCAAGATCTAATGACTTTAGGTATGTGGATTTATTTCTAACTCTCTGTTCTGTTCCTTTGGTCTATGTGTCTGTCTTTATGCCAGTACCACATTGTTTTGATTACCATAGCTTTGTAATAGATGGGTGGTCCCCGGGTTTTGGATGAGCTGCATCTCTGAGAATGTCTTTAGGTTGTGTTTGTATGTAACTTGGATCCTTGATGAAAGTGCATATACATAGTGTGGTAGAATTATAATAACAATACTATAATGGCTTATATGTGACAATAACATAGTACAATACTGTAATGATAATGATACCCCATACGATAATAATAAGTTGCAGAAACTCTTATGCTCTTTCTTTTAATTTGAACAAACAGAACATAAAAGCAAAATCATATAAAAAGTTTAGTTAGGAGATTGGAGAGATTTCAAAAAATAATATTAAAGTTTAACACATAGTGTTGCATTAATGCCAAGCTAATAGGAATGTTACACTTATTTTGATCTTCTAACTATTGAATTTGTAAATTACTTTGGGTATATGGACCTCTTAATAATGTTGATTCTATCTATTCATGAACATGGTATGTTTTTCCATTTGTTTGTATCCTTTGTGATTTTGTTCCTCAGATTCCATCCTCTTTCCTTGTAGAGATCTTTTACTTCCTTAGATAAGTATATTCTATTCCCAGGGATTCCATCTTCTTTGTAGCTATTGTGAATGCTATGGAGTCTTTGATTTGACTCTCAGCTTGGCTATTGTTGGTGTATCAAAATGCTACTGATTTATATACATTGATTTTGTATCCAGAGACTTTGCTGAATTTATTTATCAATCCCAGGAGACTCTTGGTGGAATCTCTGATGCTTTCTAGATATAAGATCATATTGGGTATTTTGTTGAGGATTTTTGCATCTATGTTCATCAATGAATTCAGCATATAGTTTTCTTGTAGTGTTTCTGGTTTTGGTATCACAGTGATGCTGGCTTCATCAAGTGCATTTGGAAGTATTTCCTTCTCTTTAGTTTTTCAGAAGAGTTTGAGAAGGATGGGTATTCTTTAAATGTTTTGCATAATTTAGCTGTGACTCCATCTAGTCCTAAACTTTTCTCTGGTGGGAAACTTTTGATGACTGATTCAATCTCTTTATTCACTATTGGTCTATTCAGATTGATATATTTCATCATAATTTAGTCTTGATAAATTGTATGTGTCTAGGAATATATCCATTTTTTTCTAAATTATATAAAAACTTCTTGGTGCATATTACTCTCTTATGATCCTATGTATTGCCATATTGTCAATTCTAATGTCTCCTCTTTCATTTCTGATTTTATTTATTTGAATCTTCTCTATTTTTTCTTAGTTTTGCTAAGGATTTGTTAATTTTGTTTGGTTTTCAAAAAATTGTTTTGTTGTTTTTCTGCTACTCATCACATTTATTTCTGCTCTGCTCTTTGTTTTTTTTTTTTTTTTTAATTCTGATAGCTTTGAGCTTAGGTTGTTTTTCCTTTTCTAGTTTCTTGAAGTGTAATGTTTGGATGCTTATTTGAAATCTTTCTTCTTTTTTGATGTAGCTATTTAATTCTGAAAACTTCTCCCTTAGAACTACTTTTGGTGCGTCTCATGTTTTGGTATATGGTGTTTTCATTCTTATTTTTTCCAATGTATTTTAAATTTTCCTTTTGATTTTTTCTTTAATCCAATTGTTGTTCAGAATCATATTGTTTAATTTCTACATATTTGTTAATTTTCCAAGATTTCTCCTGTTATTTATTTCTAGTTTTGTACCATTGTGGTTGGAAAAAAATATTTTATATGGGGGGCCACCTGTGGCTCAAAGGAGTAAGATGCCGGGCCCATATGCTGGAGGTGGCGAGTTCAAACCCAGCCTTGGCCAGAAACTACAAAAAAAAAATATTTTATATGATTTCAATCTTAAATTTATTAAGACTTATTTTTCTTTTGCCTAACATATGACCTATCTTGGCGAATGTTCTGTTTTCATTTGAAAAGAATGTAAGAATGTATGTTCCTATTGGGTAGAAAGTTCTGTAATGTCTGTCAGGTCCATTTGCTGTAGGAATGGAGAAACTGCAGCCTTAAGGAAACTTGTGGACTTTTTGGTCCTTAAGTGCAGATTTTGACTGAATCCAAATTTTATACAATGAATCCTTTTATTAAAATTGGTACAGCAATAAAAGATAAAGCTTTTCTTGCCTCCTTTGGTGTTTGAAGAACAATCTGGCTGTAAGTTCCAAATGTAGTTTGAATTCATTGTTTTCTTACTGATTTTTTTTTTTTTTGTCTAGATGATGTCTATTATTGAAGGAGAGGTATTGAAATTTCTTACTATTACTGTATTGCAGTCTATATTGTCCTTCAGATCTCTAATGTTTATTTTATATATTTAGATACTCTAATGGTGAGTGCATATATATTTAAAACTATTACATCCTCTTGATGAATTCTCCCTTTTATAACTATGTACAGTTTTTGGCTAAAATCTATTTTGTCTGAAATAAGTAATAGCTACCCTGTTCTCTCTTTTGGTTTCCATTTGCATGGAATTTTTTTTTTTTTTAATTAGACAGAGTCTTATTATGTCACCCTTGGTAGAGTGCAGTGGTGTCACAGCTCACAGGAACCTCAAACTCTTGGGCTTAAGCAATTCTCTTGCCTCAGCCTCCCCAGTAGCTGGGACTACAGGCTCCTGCCACAATGCCTGGCTATTTTTTTGTTACAGTTGTTTAGCTGGCCCACAATGGGTTACAGTTGTTTAGCTGGCCCTGCCAACCTCAGTGTATATGGCTGGTACCGTAATCACTGTGCTGCGGGTGCCAAGCCTATTTGCATGGAATGTTTTTCTAGCCCTTCAGGTTCAGGCTGTGAGTCTCCTAAATTGAAGTGAGGCTCTTGTAGGCAGCATATAGTTGTGTTTTTTTCTTTTAAATCCATTCAGCCCCTCTATGCTATGATTAGAGAATTTAATGCATTTAAGTTCAAAATTATTATTTATAGGTAAGGACTTATGAGTGCCATTTGTTAATTTTTTCCTGGTTGTTTTGTACATCTTTTGCTCCTTTCATCTTCTCCTCTTGTTTTCTTTGTGGTTTGAAGACTTGCTATGGTGGCATGCTTTGCATCTTTTCTTATCTATTTTGCTTTGTCACTATACTAATGATTACATAAAACATAACAGCCTATTCTGAGTTGATAAAACTTAATTTTGATAACATACACAAACTCTACACTTTTACTCCACTTCACACATTTTATGCTTTTTATGTCATGATATACATCTCTTTATAATTTGTATTCCTTAACGAATTGTGGTACTATGGTTGTTTTTAATAGTTTTGTGTTTTTTTTTTTTTTTTGGAGAGGGGTTCTTGCCCTGTTGCCCATAGTGGAATGCAGTGGCATGATCATAGCTCATTGCAGTCTCAGTATTCTGGGCTCAGATGATCCTTTAACCTCTGTTTCCTAAATAGCTGAGACTACAGGTACATGCCAATTTTTTAATTGTAGAGATAGAGTCTTATTATGTTGCCCTGGGTGGTCGCAAACTCCTATTCACAAGCAATCCTCCTACCTTGGCCTCACAAAGTGTTGAGGTTACAGGCAGAAGCCACCACAATGATGAATAGTTTTGCCTTTTAACCTTCATACCAACGATGTAAATGATTTACCAATCACCATTAGACTGTTAGAGTGTTTGGGGGTGACAGTGTAATTACCTTTACCAGTAAGCTGTATGTTTTCATGTTATTAATAAGTGTCCTCTTCCTTCAGCTTAAAGAACTACTGTTAGCATTTCTTTTAAGGTAGGTCTAGTGTTGATAAAAGCTCTCAGCTTTTGTTTATCTGAGAAAGTCTTCATCAGCCCTTTATTTATGACAGACAGGATTTCTGAGCATAGTATTCTTGGTTGGCAGATTTTTCTTTCAGGATTTTGAATATATCACCCTATTCCCTCTGGCCTGCAAGATTCCTGCTAAAAAAATTCTGCTTATAATCTTATGGGTTCCTTTGTACATAACAATTCATTTTTTCTTTGCTGTTTACAAAACTCCCTTTGTCTTTAACTTATGACAATTTGATTATGCTGTGTCTTGGAGTGGGTCTCTTTGGATTTACCTTATTTGGTGTCCTTTGGCCTTCTTGGATATGTATTAATATCTTCTTCCCCAAGTTTGGGAAATTTTCTGCCATTAATTCCTTAAATATGTTTTTCTTTCTGCCTTTTCCTTCTTGTATACAAATAATTTGTAAGTTGTTCTGCTCAATGGTGTCCCATACGTCTCATAAGCTAATTTCACTCGTTTTCATTCTTTTTTAATTTTTGCTTTTCATATTGGATAATTTCTAGTGACCTGTCTTCAAGTTCAGTGATTCTTTTGTTTGATCTAATCTTCTGTTGAATTCCTCTATTGAATTTTCCAATTCCGTTATAGTAATCTTCGGCTCTATGACTTCTGTTTGATGCTTTTTAGTACTTCCTATATCTGTCAAAATTCTTAGTTTGTTCTTCCACTGCTCTCCTGACTTTGCTGAGCATCTTTATGATTATTATTTTGAATTTTCTGTTGGGTAGGTCACATATTCCCACATCTCATGGGTCAATTGTGGAGATTAATCTTATTCTTTTATTTGAAATATATTTCCCTGTTTATTTTTCTTGACACTCTGTATTAGTTTCTGTGCATTCAATAAGATATCTGTCTCTCCTGATCTTGTCAGATCAGTACTGTATGGAAGAAGGATATCACCAATTTGTCTAGCAAAAGACTTTAAAGTGCCTTTCAAATATTTGTGTTTATCTCTGTTTTAGGATATGTCACAT